TTAATAATTCTGATAGCTGCGATAGAGCTAGTGGAAGACCTCGGAAAATATGGAGTGATGGCATTAAGAACAGCCTCACAGAAATGAACATCACTCTTAATAGTGCTCTTGACAGAGCTCATCAACGAACATTACGTCTCTCCTCGACACTTCGATGAGGTACAAGGTGGAAGAGAAGAAGAAGAAAAAGAAGCTGCTGTTATCTGCCAATAAATGTTCTTTATAATTCGTAAATCTTCTCCGTCAATGTTTAACTTTTCCGGCGGTTTATTTCTTTGTGTTTCACACAATCAAATGCTTTCTTACAGTCAATTAAGCATTAGCTAAAATCGTTTTTTTTTTTTTTTTACTTCTATAGCTCTTTCCGAAAGTCCTGAGGATGTATATGGCATTGTTTCACATGTTCTTCTACAAATTCACACTGTTCTTCCATAATTTCTGGTTTAATCTTGTTTCTTATTTTTCACATAATGATTCTCAGTAACATTTTTTGTCACATGACTCATAAGACTTATGGTGCGAAAATCTGCACATTTTAAAGTGTCTGGTTTCTTTGGCAGAGCAATAAATATAGATTTTAATAGGTCATTAGGAATGTACCCACTATTATAAATGTTTTTTAGCAATTTTGTCCTGCAAATATATTTCTAGTCTGTTATCATTATACAAATCCCCCAAGTACTCTGTCCGTCTTTTGATAGTGGAACTTTGTCCCATTAATATTTCACCTATCTTCGATTTTAAACATCTACTGATGTTATATCTCTTCTTCCGTGTTAATGTGCTTTTCTGTTGGTGCATGGAATATGAGTCTTTTCCAAGATTTTTCTCAATTTATGTGCAAATCTTTTTCAGCCAGGTGTTTTTAACCCTCTTAGCATCTGTTCATTATTTCTTTATGTATAATATAATATTCTTCTTTATCATTCTTTTTCTTTAATCCATCATCCATCATCTGCAGAATTTAATTCGTCATCCATTTTATGTTTGCAACTCCATGTGTTGGAGGAATAAAATCTTTTGACGTCTGCTGAATCGACTCGTGCAGCATTTCATATTGTTCATCAACTGTTTGTATTTTTTTCAATTGCGTTAAATCTGTTTTGCACATTGCCACTGTACCGTTTCCTAATTTCTTTATTCTTTTTTAGCATTCCTAAATTTAACTTAATATGCTTTGTACGATCTTTTTTTTTTTTTTAAAGTTTACAGTTTTATTTTAAACTTTCCTAAAACTGGCACATGGTCACTATAGCAGTCTGCACTTGGTCTAGTATTTGCTCCAGTTAAACTACTCCTGAATCTTTTTGAAATAAATATATAAGTCTGATTGAGGACATTATCGCCAGGATATTTCCAAGTCCACAGTCGACGAGGGTGGTGTTTAAACCAGGTATTACTAATTATCATGTTATTTTGACTCAGCCCAAGCAATTAATCTTTCGCCTCTCTCATTCTTTCCTCCTAGGCCATTGCCATCAGTTCCTCTACACACATTTTTACTTCCAATTTTTGCACTGAAATTGCCCATTATTGTTGTTACTTCAAAATTATTGCACCGATCAAAAGCTATGTCTTAAATCATTAAAAAGTCATCAATATCATCTTCTGCGCTTTCTGCAGTTGATGCATTCACCTGTACTAGAAGGGCACAATAGGTCTCTTAAATCAAAACAAGCGGACATGATCAGTCGCTTTACACTTGTGTGGCTACTAAGGAAGCGATGGAAACGCCAATTGATTTGTCCGCAGTTCTGTGATGGTAGTCCTCATTAATCCCCAACTCAAGACCTTTATGAAAGATCACTGTTTTCTTGACATTGAAAAGATCCGAGTAAAGCGACGTCAGAATGTAGAGGCATTGCTTCTTATTCTCTGTTCATCGGAAAACGCAAAGGGTTCATCGGAAAACGCAAATGTTTCATCGTAAAACGCAAATGGTTTATCGGAAAACGCAAATGGTTCATCGGAAAACGCAAATGGTTCATCGAAAAACGCAAATGGTTCATCGGAAAAACGTAAATGCGTTGTCGTTTTTAGAGTGGCCACTTGGGCACCTTTCGGTCGACGCATCCGATTTATGCAGGCATTTGTTGCCCGGATTAGCAATGTGTTTACCAGAGGTACTTCTGTTAACTACGAGAACAATTTAACGAGTGCTTATAATTAAAGGTCCCCTGATTTGAAGCAGAATTGAATGTACCGCGCTCTGAGTTTAAACTTAATAATAGGTTAACGATAACTAACACTCTTCCCTTTTATCAAAAAAAGATATAAAACCGAACGAAAAGTATATCAGCAAGCTTCACAGTGTTAATAACACAAACACAACGTTAAACGTTGCGGCTATGGAGCTTTCAGCAGCACATACATAAATAAAACAATCCCACACAAAAACAAAATCACTTAACTTAGTATCTCGATGCAGCCAGGTAGATGTCTAGTCAGTAGATTTTTCCTTTTCTCAAAACAATTATCTATTTTAGTTTATCATCATATCTCACAACACATTGAGTCACCAGCTACCGTTGAATATCTAATCTGTTCCGCCCTCGCCCCCCCCCCCCCCAAACCACTTTTATGGGTCACATGTAATGGACTTGATGTTTGCATATTTGAGTGCTCTCTATTCAGCCAAATTCTGTATCAGAACCTCTCCCCCCCCCCCCCCCACCCACCCTTTTTTCCCCCTTGCTCCCTCTACTGAGCCCTGTAACATTGTTTTGGAGAGTTTAGTAGATCATGTCAGTACCATTGCATTTCTCGTCTTTTCACTGTTGTGAAACAAGTTAAAAGCGGGTTATACAGTATTGAAATACGTCTTCTTAGTGTTCACAGAATGTAAACTTTGGCCACAAATTCTGGTTGTTCGTCTACTTCTGGATCTTGTTCAAAAATATACGTTCTGCGTGCACATCCTTTGTACAGGTCTGGCTTACTTGTATGCCGACTTTTGGTTCCTCACCTCTCAGGCAGGTGCACTCTGATTTCGCAGAAAAGCTACTTTAATAGTGTTCCTCCCCCCCCCCCCCCCTTTTCCTTTCAATTAGGTGATCGACTGGTGTACAGAGATGAGTGCTGTAATCAACCCAGAAAAGGCAACCGTCCTGTGATGTTCTTTGGACAACAAGATTGTTAGAGCGGATGTCCCCAGACTCAAAATAAATGACAGGGACATCAAAAGAGACAACAGACTGCAGTACCTGGGCATCACATTTGACAGAAATTTGTCTTTCAAGGATCACAAAGAGAGGGGTTGTGACAAATGCTCAAAAAGGTCTTAATGCACTAAAGACTATGACATCGATGGGCATGGAGCAGAGAATGCTGTTCACACTTTACCAGCACTTGATCATCTCACTGATAATTATGGATTGGGGTTACTCACTGTCCCAAAGAGTCAGCTAGAGAAACTGGAGTGCATACAGAATGAAGCTATGCGGGTGATCCTGTGATGTACAAGAGACACCCCGATTGTGTGCTTGCGATACATCCTTGCATTGTCGACTATAGAAGATAGGCTAAAGGTGATGAAGGTTAAGTCATACCTCAGAGTAGCTGCAGACAAAGAACACCCTCTGTATGAAGCTTTGGCTGCAGGTAAGGGTCAGAGGCTGAAAAAGGGGATATCGTTGATTATGGACTGGAAAAGTCCAACAGTGTGAAAGGGTTATGATAACATTGGGCCAGGAGTGCAGGGAGTGACCAGCGGGGACTACGGAGGTGGAAGTCCAACAGTTGATTCACGACTATTCACGCCCAGGTGATCTGATTATCTATACAGATGGTTTGGTGGTGAGAGGAAAGAGAAGTTCGTTGGGGATTTGTAGCGAAAGCCAATATAAAATCTTTAGTGCTAGACAGCATAGCATACGAGATCACAACATCTAGCATGAGAATGGAGGTGGAGGCGATAACTGCAGCTCTTTGGTGTATAGAGAACAAGATGCATACTCATGTCGTAATTGTAACAGACTCTGAAAGCTTACTGAGAAAAGTGAAGACAGGGATGCTTAGAGCAGAGTGGTAAACTTCACTGGCAAGGTGAAGGGTAGTGAGCATACTTTCGATCTTTTCTCCAGGCAATGCTGGCGTAGTAGGTAATGAACAAGCAGACATACTGGCTGGATCTGCACCACTGGGTGGTGAATTGATACATGAAAGGCAGATGTGTTCAAGGCCCTTTGGGAACAAGCAACGGAATTAGTAGAGAAACAAGATTATTATGGCTTGGAGAGAACGAGGCATCTGGGTGTAATCAGAGGGCCTGGCCGGCTCACATGAAAGGCAAGATGGACTTATAACAAGATTGTGACCTGTACCATCAGTATTGTAACTCTGTGCTGGCTGCTGAAGATGAGGAGGGGGCATGCACAGGAATAGATGAGTTGGCAAAAGCTGGGAGTAATCTTCCACAACCTCATCCACCACACAGCTACAAGGAAATCAAAACAGCACTAAAGCAGTCTTTCAAGCGGTAGTGGAGAAAGCAGAATAGAGATTACAGACCAGAGAGTGACAGCATAAACAAACTCAACAAGAAAGAACAAACATCAATTTTTAGACTTCGGACTGGACACTGTGGTCTTCGAGTACACTTGCACAGGATAGACATAAAAGAATCTGCTGCCTGTGATTGTGGAGCAGAAAGAGGACAGACCCCTGAGCACATACTGCAGTACTGCCCTTACCTCTCCCAGCAAAGACTGTGGATCTGGCCCAGGGGATCAACATTGCGAGAGAAGCTATGGGGGACCGGTGGTGACCTTAAACGCACAATCATATTTTTGACCCAGACGGGACTCAATGTGTAGCATGACCGATGTCGAACGCAGAAGAAGAATGTTATTTCAATTCTTAACGCAACCCTTTCCTTTCATAGAACGTTGACGCAGAAATAGAACCGGAAGCGGAAGCTGACTAAATGTTTACAAAATTTTCAGAATAACCACATGGAAATTTGGTAGTGTAGTGTAGGACAGCTTCAGAAAGTTCACAAAATGAGCCGTCTGAAAACAAGGTTTGGTATTATTTAAATGTGGTATGGTTACATAATGTTAATGCGATTGTCTCGAGTTTTTTAATGCTATTGTCGTTTAAACCCTGTATGTTTTTTAACCAGTTTGTCAGGATTGGAAGTTCAGCGCCATACCATACTGACTGATCTATCAATCATACTATGATACTAGTCATTCATAGTTCCTACTTTCTTATTCTGAGCCTCCAGCTGTCCGTGGACGAAAGAGTTTAGAGAGTGAGTGAGTGAGAGAGAGAGAGAGAGAGAGAGAGAGAGAGAGTATCTGTCTATCAGATAATATTAATACAATAAAATATTAGCATTAGTATTGATAATGAATACTTCACATCTTACTAAGTTACTTTTAATGCTGTGACAGATTTAAACTATACTTATACTATTATATTTAAATATATTTTTAAAAATTTTTAACTTTAATTTCTTTTGTCTGTCAAATTTAGTAACTGTTCGTTTACCTTTAAGTTTACTTACTTTAATTTAAATACTTTAAATTGTTGTTAAAGTTGGTCTTGCTTGGAAAATGAGAAATGTGTGTGGAGTATGTGTTTTTTAGCAGTAGCTTGTGACTTGTGACCACGAATGTCCTGAGACTGAATGCTGTGTGGTGATGTCGATTCTTAACAACCTAAAAATAATAGTATACTAGCTTGCAACGGCACAGTGTCAGTCATCAGTGGCCTGGGCATTGCCACATTCCAGTGTGTGCTCAGTCAATGAGTCATTTGATGCTTCAGCCAATCAATTGTATGTGTGTCTCTACTGATTATTTCAGGAGAGTTTGGTTTAAAAAGTGTTGACTGATTGACTTTTACATTGCATTGCTTGCTGCAATGATTGCAATTACGAATCAAACAACACAGTGAGGTCGACATGCCTGGCAGACCCGCGCTGCGACATGATCCCAATAGAAAGATGTTAGCTCACTACAGTGAAGAAAAAGTTAAAGTGCTATATAAAACCTGTGAAATGTGGACAATAAACAGGCAAGCTGGAAAACACCTACTCAAATAGGAGGGCCTTTTTTTTTAAAGGCTGCCAAGAACAATATAAATAATAGAAAAACAAAGTAAATGAGAAAACAAAACACTGACTATGACTATATGTCAGTTCTACTTTTGGTCTTCTGTTAGAGAAAAATGAAAACACCCAAACTAATGAGACAAATTAGTTAAATTAGACATAGAAGGTCAACATGTTTTGGACATTGAGAAAGAATGAAGGACTTCGACTTGGTGATGAGAATAATTGAAAAAGTGCAAGTAACGTAAATAACTGCATGGATGGATGCTTGCCAATTTGGATAAGACATTAAAAGAACTTACCTGATTTATGAATTTGGTGATCCTGTAAGATGGGGAAACAGGACAACCTATGTAAGATCCAGTTGCAGTTTTGAACACCCTATATTTTTCATTTGTGTGTGTGTTTTATTACCATTTTGTGTACAAAAGCCTTCTTTGTTTACAAATTTTTTTTTATAATGCAGCTTTACAGTTGCTGAAAAATATTCAGCATTTTACACAGGAGGTCAGATTCAGGTATGCATCAATGTTGACACAACTGAATGTAATTTTTGTTTGATGTATATTTGTTGTTCATCTTAACCCTCTAGCCCTGCGAAAGCCATTTTCCCAGCTTTTATGGGTTTTGGTTGACATGTCTTTGAACAGTACCTACTATGCCTGTATGACCATGGAACTGAATCCATACTGCAGCATTTTACACAGGAGGAAAGATTCAGGACAATGCATCAATGTTGACACAACTGAATGTATTTTTGTTAATGTATAATTTGTTGTTCATCTTAACCCTCTAGCCCTGGTTTTCCAACTTTAGAAAACACCACCTTTTATGGTGTCTTTGGTTGACATCTCTTTAAATGGTGCTATTAGCACAGTATGAAAGTTTGGTACTGGCTGCAACATGCTATAGTGTGTGTATTTTTATAGGAGACATAAGTATTACTACTTGCAAAAAAAACAAACTAAGCCGTCACAAATTAGTGTATGTGTATATATATTAGTAAATATAAACAATTTAAGTATATATAACTTAATATATATATAAAGCTATATCATATATATTAAATTTATATCATATATCCCCTCTTATCGATATAATATATATATATATATATATATCATATATATATATATTCTACTAGCTGTAACTGGCCATTGACGTCCCTGTGGCATAGTTTGGCTAAATGGAATGAAAGAAAAATGTAATAGGTATCGCACGGTCTAATAAGGATCATTTATCCGCATCAGATATACAAGTACTAGTACTTTGATTACCCCCCCCCCCCCCACCCCAGCTAAAATAATGTCACTACTACCTGTTCCCTCATCGGAAAGGCTTTTGGAAAAGAAAGACAATGGAAATTTGCGCCTGTCATAATATAGTTAATGTCGCAATCATTCTCTGCAGGTTTAGGATATCAGATTTCTGGTTCCCCGACTTTAGAATGCGCACCATTACCGTTGGTCTTTTCATATAGTGGTCTTTTAAATGGTGCTATTAGCTCAGTAACAAACTTTGAGTGGTTTATTTGTTAACGCTCTGATAGTAATCTGTTTGCCCCCCCCCCCCCCCCAATAGGAGACCGTACTAAAGCCTCATCGACTACTGTACTTGAAAAAAACCAAAGTAAGCCGTATTAAAAATTAGAAAAGTGAAGGTAGCGTTAGTAAACTATAAACGCTAATTTAAGTAAGTACAGCTGACAACTTGAAAATCATGTGTAAAGCTCTTCAAGTTCTCTTAAATTTAAGTCATTACCCTCGAAAAGTTTAAAATGAAATCATAAGTATGTGTAATGGTCAAATTTAATTATCAACTGGTTTACCCACAAACCTTTTTAAATATATATCATTAAGGGCCATATGGCTAGTGCTGTTGCCACGACAGTGCAGGTCAGTATTTTATTTTGACCCTAAGTAAAAAAAAAAAACTACTCGGATTCGAACCCTGGTCTCCCTCTCAAGAGCCTAGTGTTCTAACCATTCGACCAAGCAACCATCGATCGGAAAACGAAAAGAGAACATAACTATTTTAGATGGATGTCCCTACTGCAGTGTCCCGATTATAACAACTCAAAACAGCAGGCAATTTTTTTCTCATAGACAGATATTCCAAATATATTAATGAAACGGCTTAACAAAAAAAAAATCGCACGTGTCTAACACGGTTAATGTCGCAGTCAATGTCTGTGCAGGCGTGGAGATAGTCCCTGATGCCTCCCCCTCTTTTTCCCTACCAATCCATCGGCTACTTTTCAACTCATCGAAGGATGTTTTAAAAAAAAAAAAAATAGAAATTGTGTCTAATATAGTTATTGTGGCAATCACTGCCTGCACAGATATAGATATAGTCTTGTTTGCTCTATCACGACCTACTCTATGTATTAGAGGGGGTGTTGGCTGCACGGCGCATGCGCAATTACTAATGTGGCTATAATTAGAAATCACTAAAATTATAAATATTAGTTTCGAATATTATGGCTTAAATTGTGGTCACCTATCTCTAACAGTGACAGGTTGAATTTCAAACCATGATGGTTCAACATCCGGTATCAAAACAAACATATCCTGAAAATTTCAGCTAAATCGGTTCAGTAGTTTCCGAGTCTATAGGGGGCAAACAAACACACAAACATTTTTCCACTGAAATTTATTATATATATATATATATATATATATATATATATATATATATATATATATATATATATATATATATATATATATATATATATATATATATATATATATATATATATATATATATATATATATATATATATATATATATATATTCATTCATTATACATCACATTGCTCCCTGAAGCTTGGTGACCAAAGTCACTTTAAAGTGGTCAGAGGGAAGTAAATCAGTTCAATTCTTTGCTCATTTTGTATAAATGATTACTTTCCTTAACATAGAAGTAAACCGTTTTCAGATTGAGATGTTTAATGATGAGAAACAAATATTGAACATTTTGTAATGAAGTGTCGTCATCGGAAAAGTAGAGGCTTTACTCCTGCCCTTTTTCTTGGTGGTCTAGGGGGTTCCACCGCCTGGATATTTGTAAAAGCTTATTAAGACTCAGAATTTCTTCTACTTCTTCTTCTTCTCTCTCTTTCTCTCTCTCTCTCTCTCTCTGTCATATTTTTCTGAGGATGGAGTTTCAGAGAATTATAAGATACGTTTTTTTAAAATAAACATGTGAAGAACAAGTTATTTTATAAGATGCTTACATGATAAGGTTAAAGTACAAAAGCAATTAATAGAGAAACTACGTTATTTTAAAATAGTATTCTTATGTAATTACAATTTGTTTCTATCGTAAATGAATTATTCTGTGTATGTTTATGAAGGAAAAGAATAGGTAGAATCAGCAGGAAGGGAATATAGACAAAAGAGAAAATAATTGCAGATAGATAAACATTTGATACGCAACATATCAGATATAAGCAGTGACAACATTATTCCCAAAATCCCCTGCTCTCACTGTGGAAGATTTTTTCTAATGTGAGCTGATCCAGCTAGTCACATTCACCATTGCCAAGGGACTGAGATGTTAATGCCTGCATATAACACTATATGTCACTATCATCTGGTGAGGCGGAAAAGTGACAGAAAAAAGAGATTGAACAGATACAAGTGTCACTTCCTGTCAGAACTTTAATACATATACCTACCAACACAAATGGAGACTTATGTTTGCAGAGAATAATAACATGTGAAGGAATGATATTGGTTATCTTGGTGTTCTATAATGTTGAAGGATGATACCTTAGTTTTGTGTGTATGAGTGCAAGTGCTTTTGGAATCCTAGGTAAGGTGTAAGCAAAAGGTCTGGAACTCCAGGACAGAAGCAAGTGCCAGAAGTAAATTGGATAGCTTGATTGTTTGGATGGGAGCAAGACAAGAGCATTAACCTGATTTTTTTTTTTGACTCCTGCTCATTGATAACAACCCTGAGCATTTTTTAGCACAGGAGAATGCCGCTAGCGTAGTTGGCTAAACCGGATTGTGTGGTGACCGGATGACGAACTCCCTGTGGTCCGGGTTCACACCCATGGGTAGGCAGAAAAGCCACATTTCTCCCAGATTTACAGTATTTATCATGGAATCAAGGCCAGAGGGTTGCGATATCCATAATACTGAGCCTAAGGGTTAACAACTAATGGCTTCTGATACTAAAAAAAAAAGCACAGGAGAAAAGATCGGCGGACTAGGTTGCAGCGGATACTAATAGTATGAGAACTCTCTGTTGGCTACTAAAGAAGGGGACAGCATGTGTGAGAATGTCTAGAGGGCAATGTTGTGATTTATTTTTGTAAGACTGAGCCATGTGGCGTAAAACCTGAAAGTGATAAAGACATTGGTAACTGCAGTCAAGCTAGTATCAAGAAAATAACTCATAAACTGACTGAGAAACCTAACAAAGGTGGGAAGGAGAACCCACATACTGGAATAATCAGGCATTTTGACAACAGCCTTTGTTGACACATGTCCATATGCCCTTATATTGACACCGGGAAGGAAAAGAAAACAGGAAAGATCAAGAGAGACTTTTACGTAGAACAATCATCAGGAAAGGCTCAACCATGGGCCTAACAAATATCCAAGACTAAAGCAAGTTGCAGGGAACCACCAGACATGGAGAGCTATGACCCCTGCCCTATGTGCCACACTAGGCACAAGAAGAAAGACTTACTATGTTGAAAAGAAAAAAAACCAATATTATTCTCTCTCCACAGCTTGCCAATGATGGCAGCAAGCTCTTCTGTGGCTGTGGTAAAGAGATTAGGATTGTTGATGTAAAAACAGGACGGATTTCAATGTCAATTGGTCAGGTAATTTCATGTGATATGTCCTCTTCAATTCTTGTTAATGCCATCTCTGTAATGCAAGGGTGATCCAAAAAGATGTCTGATTAAAAAAAACATTATTGTTTTTCTTGTTGCTGTTTTTAGAATTGTCTCATTTGACTCTGTAGCCACTACATTGCTGCAGCTATTCACATTCTAATGCTGACCCTAAACAGTTTGCACACTTTCATACATTCATGCACATTGGCTACGTATGGCCCACACAGACTCTCGGTAGTCTTTTGTAGGCTTTGATTACTAACACAGTGCCTAATGCATTATCATTATCCTTGGTCTGGGACATGTTAGCATGAAATGCAGAAAAGTTGCACCCTCTGTTTAGAGAATGGTCCTAATTTATGCTTTGAGAGAGACAAGCATGTGGAAGTCCTCAAACGTAGGGATTCTGGTTTCTCTCTGACTTGGATGCAAAGTCTAGATATACTAATAGTAACATGAGTAACGTGGCAAGAAAATCATGTGAGCGCTCACAGTATATCAGCTAATACTTTTGTGAAGAAATTTCCTGAAATGAACAGTTTCCTAAGTTTTTCTTTCCCAAGTAAGTTTAGTCGGCTCTTTGCAATATCCAGCTGTCACATAGTTTTAAATGTTCTTTGCTTGCGTGTTGTTTCTTGAAAGACTGCTTTATTCGTTTATCCCCCCCCCCCCCCTACCCCATGCTATTTCTTTGTATTCTCAGCATAAATTTTTCCTCTGCTATTAGAGATATTTCCACTTTTATTGTTGTTTTTTTGCAAGTATAGATATCCTCATATACAACTTTCTATTAATATGAAATGAGTTAAAATTCTTGTTTGTCTTTCCAGGAGGAAGAAGAAGAAATTTCACAGTTTATTGTCACCAGAGATGATGAGGTAAGCAAAAATGAAAGCTGTTTGTTTTTTAGATCAGTATGTGTTCTCTTTTATTTAGATCACTCTGCAAACTTTTTTGTGTCCACAAATGCTTATGTATCTTTAATACTGTTCCAACGATACACACAGGCATCTGTTCTTACTACATATGCATCTCGTGCCTGGTTATGCCAATCTTTACCTCCAATTCTTTCATTCTTAACAGTGATGTCAACCTGCTGCCCCTAAAATGCGCACACACGCACACACACCCCTTTCCCCCCTAGTCGTTCTCTCTTTCTCTCTCTCTCTCTCTCTCTCTCTCTCTCTCTCTCTCTCTCTCTCTCTCTCTCTCTCTAAAGATAAGGTCTCTCTGTCTGTAAGGATATGAATGTGGTTTGTGTTTTGTTTGAAAGATAAAGAATGTCTAAATAGTGTACGGTTTCCTTTATGAATATTTTGTGGGACTATACCAACTTTATAGTAGAGGTAATCAATCAAAAATGTTTTTCTCCAGTTCTTGATACTGGCCACACAAAACCAGCTCTTTAGACAGTGGAGGTGGAAAGACAAAGTTCTGGTCAAGACATGGAGGGTAAGTTGTCATTTTACTGTATTTACACTGCTAAGCAAATTAAATTATCATGGCTTCTTAGTATCTGGGGTCTTTTCTCCTAGCCATTATACCCAGTATAATGAAACAGACCATCGACCAAAGTCATGTTAATCTTGCCATCTTATACAGTACTCCTCATGTTCTTTGCCTCTCTTGAATTCCCTTCTCTGTGTGTACTTTTTGGTCTTCCTTTATTTGTTCGGTTCCCGTCGATTCCCTGCACAAATGGGCATCTTGCTTCCTCAGCAAGTTAGATTTCTGTCTTTGACAATGGCACTTATTACATGGATGCCCCAGAGCGCTTTTTGCAGTATTTATAGTATTTATCATGTATGGCCTAGCTGTATGGTCATTGTTAATAGACATTTGAACCCTTTGTCTCATAAGTAGGATCTTTGAGTGAGGAACATCTGAACCTTTGCTGTCGTACAGTAGGATGCTCGATAGATGGACATTTTAACCTAAGCAACCATACAGTAGGAGTCTCGGTTGACTGATGTTTGAACCAAAGTTTATTGTATAGTAGGACTTTTGGACGACATATCTGAACCTGAGTTTGACAGTTGTTAGGTTACTCTTCCAGCGGACTTCCCTCTTGTTTGAAATGAGTTTTCGGCGGTTCTGTGAACGTTATTACTCGTGGGGGGGTGGAGGGGGTGACGAGTTCCAGGGGATTTTTTGGACACTGCATCTCTGGGGACCACCAACTCCAAGTTCCCATGCCAACTTGGTTTAGGTCAATATAGGCCATTACCTGTATCACATGATGAGGACATGTGGCGGGAGACTTGATAAGTATTTATTAAACCAGCGCAGAGCCTGCAGGTGACTGAAGTGTGGTACGGATTATCTCTCTATATACGCCACAATGGTCTTAACTTTTCTCATGCCATTGACCAAAAACAGAGCGCTACCGATGTAGTCAGTCAGTATCACCCAAACTCCTTAGTCACCGCTCACAGTGTGCATGGTAGGTTAATGTCACTGTTTCCCATGAGAGTTCTGGCACCCCCATTTTGTAGGGGTTGGAAGGAAAGCCCCACTGCCCCCAACAAGCATGTCGTGAAAGGCAGCTAATTATGAGTTTGATAATTTTAGATGTTGAGTCAAAAGTTGCACATATTGCAGCCTGGCTGTAAACCATAACAGAAGAGGCCAACCACTTTTTAAAAGTAAATACAAAAGAAGGAAATAAATTTTTTTTTCTATGTTTCCCTTATGTATCTGGAGAGCCCAGACATCCCCTGTTTCTATATCATAGGGTCATGAACAGTACCCATCTGTTAGCCCCACTGCTTAGATACACAAATGTCTCCCTTCCAGCAAAACAGCAAATGATTAATAGCATCTTTATCCCAACTTTATGCTATCAGTGCCAAAGATGGACAATGAATATGGCACTGGAACAGAAAATAACTGCATGTGAAATGCGCTGTCTCCGCAAGGTCACTAACAACACAAGATGGGACAGTGTTACAAATACCAGCTTTAGAGACATAGTTGGAATAAGACCATGTCTAGATTATATTGACAGACAAAGAATGAAATGGTTTGGCCATTTAGTGAGAATGCAGCCAGACCAGACTGCATATGAGACTTTTTACAGCAGAACATCTGGAAGGAAGGCAAGATCTAAGAAAGAGATGTATACATTTTGTAGCTGGAACCTGCAAAAAGATGTTTAAATCCATAACCTAAGCCGCCCTTAAAGTGCAAGACAAATACAGAAAACCACGACATTGGGCTGCAACCTGGTATCAGGGCGATGAAAGAAGAAGAAGAATGAACAACAAATACACTTGATAACTTTTGGTTATTTGTGACAAAGCTGGTTATGTATTGCTGGCACAATGCCAAAGTCACCTAAGTGCATTTCCAACGCCGTTATTTGTCACTTACAATATCTTTAAGGTACACATGTGAAGTTCTATTTTACATAAATCACAATGAATTATTACGTTTTATTGTGCTCCACAAATTTCAGAGAGATCGCTGTGTTCAGTTAGTTTTCTTGAAACAAGGATTTAGCAGTTAGCTGACTTTAGTGTAGTTCCACTGATATGGTAATATTTAGTCTGCTTACGTGCTTAATCATTTGTTGTTTTTTATAATCATCATCATCATTTATAGTTTTAATGTTTTTCTGTATCCTCAGTCTGTTCACAATGCACCAGTCACATCACTGACATTTGACCCTACAATAACTTTATTGGCTTCTGGCAGTGCAGACTTCACTGTGAAAGTCTGGGACATAGTGCAAGGCTATTTCACGCACAATTTTAGAGGTCACACAGGAGTTGTAAGGTGAGAACATTTCTGTGTATCTGTTAGTTTATATTTTGGAGAGGAAGTGTATGCAGACTTGGTTCCTGAGCCCTCTGGCCGATTCACTCCGACTTTGAAGGAAACTCCTAATTAGTCAGCTCTTAAGACATGCTTGTTAGGGAGGCACTAGGACTATTCTTTTTTCCTCCCCACAGTGTTGTCCTGTAACCCACACAGGGAGGATACCAGTTGATTTTTTTTCTACTTTCTGTGAATTTTCTGTGAAGAAAAGGTTGTATGGAAGGGACCGACTACCCCACTGTAGTTTTTAATTTTTTTTATTGTTGACCTCCACAAATTTCCTATGAAAGCTCCTCTTGCCTTTTGTATTCATGCTTTAACATCTTTATCGGTTCCCCCGTCTTCATTTACATTACTGCCCAAATAGATGTACATCTCCACATCTTGAAGTGGGATACAGTTCAAAGAAACCACATTACTATTTGCTTAATGTTTTCTCATTATATTTGTTTCAGTATTTCCTTTTTTTAAATATATGTTAAAAGTCCAGGTTTGATAGCACAAATTTATGCATTGAATGAAAACAAAAATAGAAGGTTATAAAAAAGTAGAAGGTTGTTATGCATGATACAGATGAAAGCCATGAACATTTGGGGGACTTCAGTGTGAAGTGGGCACGCTGCCTGCCTTTTGCTCTGAAGTTGTTGGTTTATTTCATGGCTGCGCCAGTCAATTCATGGGTTCAATTTTATGGAGATCCCTGAGAATTGTCATCAGAGCTACAGAGTTCATGCTTTATGTTGTGCTCTCACCAGGCAGTTAACCCTTTTACTGAGAGAGACAGCGCCACATAGAATAGAACCTGGTGCAGTGATGTATATCCTCTCGACTTCAATCTTTAGCTTTAACTCCAGTAGGACTAACTAGAGAAAAATTGTGCCATATCCGCAACAAAGGTTGGCTGCAATGTATCCACCGTCAACTATGGGAATATTACATGGTGAAGCCCCTGTCTCTTCCATGGTGTAACTCTCATACCACTGTCTGGAAGTCATGAAAATGGCAGTAATTACTGTGCTGTACGTTGAGCACCCTAACAATACCAAGGATACAGTCAGACTACCAGCAGGAAAGCACTGCCACAACTACAATGCAGAAGTTTAAGCCATCAAGATAGCAGCAGAGAAACTACTTAATATGGTGTATATTTCACGACCAGTGGTATTCCTGACAGATGCAAAAGTGGTAGTACTTCAGGCACTTTAATCTAAAAAATTACCAGGTATACAGGCACTACTATCTGAACTAGGTAACCGATGTAAGGTTACTATGCAGAGGATACTGTCCCACTGTGGTGTTCCCAGAAATAAAAGGGCTGATAAACTAGTTTAGGAAAGTGCAAATAAAGAACAACCTGACCTATCTTTTAACTGACAGAAGAAGAGAATAAGAAAATCAGTCAGAAAGCCACCAACATTGGCACAAGATGATTACCATATTGGACAGACCAGTACGAGTCATTATTTTGCGCCTTAGAACAGGGCACAGTCGACTTCAGAGCCACACGTACACAAAATTTAAGATAAACGAATCAGCCATGTGGACTGGCACCTGAGACAACAGATCACGGCCTCTAAGATTGTCTTAGATACATTTCCAGTCAAAAATTCTGGCCAAGAGAGACATCGGTTTTAACTAAACTTTACAGGCCGCTAAGTGAATTACAAAAGACAGTGAAGTTTGTACTAGAGACATAATTACTTATATAGATAATTTATTTTAAACAAACAAAAGAAGAAGAAACTGTACCCTGTTAGTCATAGGTTGGATTTTTTAAAAGTTTCTTTTTGTTTTCACTTTGAAAGAGTGATGGCCTTTCACCCTGACTCCCAGCGTCTGCAGCTAGTGACGGCAGCAGAAGACTACAACATCCGGGTATGGGACCTGAAGACAAGTAGCTGTATTGTCACTAGCCAGTGCCACGTCAGTCTCGTCACATCTTTGGCATTTGCGGAAAATGGAGCCACAATGTACAGGTAACAAATATGTAAAATATTGTATGCTTGTATCTTTGTTTATAAAGTAGCTATTGGTGTCTACAATATTCCTGTCTTTTTATAACTTATTTGTAGTCTGACTTTTGGTGCTATGTTTGCTAAGTCATGTTTTTCTTTGCATGACATTGTTGTTTTTACTTAGCAGAACAGTATCACTAGGAAAATTGAGATCTCCCAACCATGTGTTCTCCACCCAATCAGTGGCAGTGTTGTCAGTACTTTTTGTCATCGCCCAGATAATGGTTTTGCTGAATAAGAGTGGAGATGAAATGCATTCCTGTTTCAGCTGCAAACCAATCTCAGTTAATCACAGTCCTGTTTATATATATACCATTGCAAGAAACTTCTTTCTGTGTGCTTGAAACCTTTTTATGCCTGTTACTCTGTTTCTGCATGAACTGCAGTGTCTTATATAGATCTTACAGGCTTCTTAAATGTTTGACTTTTAAAGAGTTGTTTCCCTAGCCATATAATAAATGAGCACTACACAAACTAGGAATATATTGCTGGCATCATTTGGGCAGTGTCTGGGGCTTGTAGATAAAATGGCAGCCCAAAAGGATGATAGAGAAATAATATATAAGCAGACATATAAACACTTGCTCACTAACTAGAAAAAGAAGACCAGTCATAGAAGAAGTGAACAGACTTTATTTTTAAAGAGTCAAGAATTGGGCACGCATGCCTGTCTTAAATTCTGCTATTTAGTCTCACTCCTTACATTCATTATTCCATTTACATACCAGTAAGCATTTAAAAAAAATAACACATCTACATCTAATTCTCAACTATAATTGCCCCCATGTTCTGTAATATACCTACATTTCTAAATGGTAATAATCCTAACTATAGTAAGTGTAATAAATCTGGGGGAGGGAGGGGGGCATAGTGTGTTCAGAGATGAAATAGAGGCAGCTGAAATCTGCAGTAATGAACTTCGAGGGCATAATGCTGAAGAAGATGAAGAAAGAAACTGATGCTGTGAAGCTGAAGGAAGAAAAGTGAGAGACATAAATAGAACCAGACATCTTATTCACAGTCTCCTGTTGGTTGCTGTAGTGTAGGATTCATGTTGCCTCGTTGATTTATACTTTGGTTTGTAGTATCTCACTCAACACACTGGCAACCATAAACCTCTTTCAACAACACTAAAATGATATTTCAGATTTTATCATTCTCAAAGATGTTTGCCACACACACAAAAACACTGTTGTCACCATACTTGCAACATTTGTCAATACGTTCATTTCTTTTGTATTTCAGTGATATCTTATATTCTTTTATTTAAAAAAAAAGGTGGTATTTGATTTCAGTATTGACAAAGATAATGTTATTCCACATTCTATCACTGTATTTGAAAAAAAAAATAGTTTCACATTTCTTCTGTATTTCAACACTAGGAAGAATAATCTTATTATATTTTTTCATTACTCAAATCTTAAAGACTTACATTATGTATATCTTTCAGTGCTGGAAAAGATAATGTTGTTTGTGTTTGGAAAACTGACAAATGGAAGGTGTTCAAAACAATACCTGTATTTGAGGTAAGAGCAATAACAGTTTATTGTTGATTACTGTCGAAACCTGTCCCCTTAAAAATGGTTTATTTCCTATTGGGTATAAAGAGCAGTGGGTAAAATAATCCACACTCACAATATCCTCCCTTTCACCTCCCCAAGTCCTGGAAACCACATGGGAAAAATTAGTTGAAATGTCACCTTTAGATGAAGAGAATAATGTTTGTTGCTGTCTTAACAATGTGGCATCACCAGTTAATCTATAAAAATTTAGGTCTAGCCCTATATGCCTATGGGTCCTTTACTGTTAGTGTGGCATCAGGTGAATTGGTTCCTCATTGCTTTATAATTCATTGAACAAAAAGAAAAGTAATTAGACTCACATTTTGACTCACTTTATCCTATGGTTTACCAGATACAAGTGTTTTGCACATTTTATCTCCATGATCATCAAGTGCTTTGATAGCTGACAGAGACTAAAATGTCTCTTCACAATTTGGTGTCTCCACAAGCGTGCATCAGTTCATCCATCCATGCATGACAAAAAAGCTGTCAAGAATATTCTTAAATTGCTTTCCTCTTTCTCTTTTAACAACTCTTTCCAGTCATCACATGCCTTAGCTTCTTTCTTCTCATTACTTGACCAGAAATAACAACTGTTTCTTTATGTTTAAGATAATTTGTCTTCAGTCTTCATCTTTGTCAGAACATCTGAATTTTGGTTCTCCAAGAAATTTTAAGCATATTTTTGTAAAACAACATTGCAGAGGCTTCTAGATATGTCTTCATACCGATTTAAACAAAAATTGTTTGTCTAGGATTCACAGCATACTTCAAAGCTAGTTCTGTGTATTGAGCAGGAATTCTTTTTCTAACTTCCATTGAAGGTATTTATTGCACAATGAAATGTGTCCTAATTGCGTCTTGATGTTAAAAAATGTGTTTGATTCTAAAAATAATTTAGTAAATATCATACTACTTTCAGTCAATCATATCTGTGATTGTCCCTCTGGAGTTCCCAAGTATTATAGATGATGACAGCATTCTAAGGTTCATCACAGTTAGCTCAAGTGGTGAGTATAAATCTCTTTTTGTTTTTGTTTTTCTGCCATCTTCAAGTTGTATATATCTTTTATCATCCTGCTGTCACATTCTTCTTTATTTCCCTGGTCCTTTTCTGCCTTTCTTTAACAGGTTTTCGACAAGGTATCTAGTGCCAGCTTTGATATGTGTTGAGTAGATGCTGGTATTCCTGGCTTTAGATATTTCATATGTCCATCTCACACATGGCAGCCTCTAGGTCTTTTTTCTGTTTCTTCATTTCATAGTTTCTGATCCTGTCTTTTCTTGTTAGATTTAGAGTTCCTTATGTTTTGAGTCATTGTTGACATTTCAGTTTTTAATTTTGCTGTTGCTGTTAAAGGTCAGGGTTTGATATTATCAGTGTTGGTAAAAGTGTTGTATTGAACAGATGTATTCTTTTTATGAAGACAAATAAAAGTGGGTGATACAGCCATGAACAGACAAATTTGACTTAGGCAGTCACGATTTTTGGGCACGTAATGAGGCAAAATAATTTGGTAAAATGTAGTGTCAACAAAATGGAGAATAAAACTGAAAACGTTTCTCCGTGTGAGCATAAACTGGACAAGAAAACCTAGCTGATCCAAGACAGGTGAATGGGTGTCATGGCTAACCATATCCATCTATTGTTATGAGGATAGCACATGAGGCTGGTGGTATCTGATGTTCTATTCTGAGTGTGTTTCTTAGCTCCGACAATAATGGTTGCTTAGAAAGTGAAGATTATTAATGTGAACATGCTCTAAAACCTTAAGATGGGTAGACAAAGTAAATGTTTTGTAAATCAGTTATTGTTAGATTTGTGAATGCAGAAATATATGGAATACATGAGAGACACAAGACAGGCAACCAAATTGGAACGATCAGAAAGTTTCCTATTTGAGTCCTGTCTCCACAATGAGTGTTGGTCACTGCTGTCTTTGGAAATATTATATAGTGAGACCCTAATCTCTTCCATGGTGTGACTCTCATACCACTCTCCAAAAATCACAAAGGAGTTGTTCTATATAAACCTTCAGCCTCATAAATCAAAGCCCAGTTACTAAGTGATTATAATCGTTAAAAACGTCACTGAGCCACATTGAACTACAGGGCTTGTATGTGTGTGTGGTCAAAACAATGTGAGTTTTAACAAAGACAGCATAAACTATAGATGGCACAGTTTATTGCCTAGCACAGTGTTTCCCAAACTTGTCTTAGTCGCTGGGACTTTTTTTCATTTATAATTGTTTCACGGCTACCTAACCTAAGTAAAAGCATGACTGTTCATATGTAAGAGATTAAAAAAAAATAAACACTGTATTTGCTAACATTTTGCGGCGCCCCTGTGTAGAGGCCGCACAGTTTGGGAATCACTGGCCTAGCACATGTCTCTCTCTCTCATTAGGAGCACATTACAGTATAATAATAATAAATAAATTAATAATAATTTGCCTAGCATCCACCCTATACTGAACAATTATCAGCTAGCCCAAGTGCTAGACTATCGCCTCCCAAAGAGAGTATTTAATGGCGAGCTCCAGCAAAAGAAAAGGTCTCAGGGAGGACAGAAGAAGTGCTATAAGGACACTTGAAATTGCTGTCCATTCTTTTGGCATCAACTCGGCAGCATGGGAGGCTGCTGCACAGGCATGGTGTGTCACCCTGCTAGGCAGCGGAGGTTGCACAAGCAGAGAAACGAAGGCAGCCTAGAAAGATCCGTATCGCTAATCCCACATTTACTGTGGCTTCCACCTATTGGCAGCACTGCTCAAGAATTTTCCAGGCTCATATTGGACTAATCAGCCACATTCGTTCTCATAAACATTGAATATTACTACTTTGGATGAAAAATGGTCTTCATCCCTCGTAATGGATGAAAAACAGTAAAAATAAAGTAAAATGGAGCAAATAAATGAATCCTTCTAATTGAAGAAATACAGAATCGACTATTTTCAAAAATAACTCCCTGTTTTTCCAGGGCAAACACAGGTTCATGGCTGCATTTTTTTGGGGTGCTGTTATAAATTTTTGTGTCAGTTTCTGATCATTTGCATAATATATGATCTCTCTTAGGTGATGTGAGAGTTATTAATGCCCAGACAGGAAGTCGTGAATACTCCAATAGTTGCCGACTGAGTGACCCTGAAGCAGATGCTGAGAGCACAGATTCATACATCACACAAGCACTCTACTGTCCAGATTTGAATGGGATTTTGTTGGCTACATATGACCAGAACATTATCCTCCTAAGTAAGGACTTCACTATGGAAAAACAGGTAATGAGATGCTAGGTATATGAAATATTACGTATCCCTGTGTGGATTCTGGAGCCCTACGTTGGGAGGAAAAATAGACCCACTGGCTTCTCCAACATGCATGGTATAAAAGTGGACTAATTAGGTGTGTTGTCTTCAAAGTGCATCTCCCCCGTGTGGGTTCCGGGGCCCTATTATGGGAAAAACAAGAATAGACCCACTGCCTACCCAAAAGCATGTCGTAAGAGTTGACTAATTGGGAGCTTCCTTCAAAGTCGGAGTGCATCTGTCTGAGAGGCAAATGTAAATTTAATGTAAACAAAAAAATATGCAGGTCAGTTTACAGCTGGTGAACGCCCAAAAAAATTACGACTTGTGAAATGTAACAAGTAAAGAGGAGAATGAAAAGAACCAGTCTAATGGAATGGCAGGCTGTGCAACTAAAGGCCTTTCTGCTCACATTGCATCAGTCCATAGTCATATCTGACTGAAGAATATTGAAGACAAACAATAGATTGCACAGTTTAGTACTTGGCATATTTCATTGTATCCCACTAGGTGCACATTACAGAATTGAATCCACAATTAAGGAATCACATGGATCTTATCCTGTAACCTAAATACATAAGTTCCTTGCTTTCAGGTCAATTTTTTTTTTGCTTTTAAACTGTCCAGGATATTGTTCTATTTACATTAAATTTTACTTTAAAACTGATAAGCACATTCTTCTGTTTACATTAAATTTTACGATTAAACTGACCAGTATATTGTTCTGTTTACATTAAATTTTACTATTAAACTGACCAGTATATTGTTCTGTTTACATTAAATTTTACTATTAAACTGACCAGTATATTGTTCTGTTTACATTAAATTTTACTATTAAACTGACCAGTATATTGTTCTGTTTACATTAAATCTACATAGTCTGTAACTATTATTTTCATCGTCATAATCATCATGAGATTTATGGACCATATTATCATAGAATAAAGGGCACACTTAATTAACATGGTGTGGGAATATTCTAAGCAAGGGTAGTCAGAGAACACAAAGAAACATTTATTTCAGAGAATAAACAGCTCAACAATAAATAATATAATCACACTTGAAGAATTCCTACAAAGCTACTAGATTGCTACACTATTTAACCAATGGGGCCACGTTAGCGCAATCGATAGGAGGCTCGCTTTCAAATCCAGCTGCGACTCACTGCAGACCACGGCCGGTGTTCAAAAATAGGCTGTTCCTGGGGTTCACCCAGCCTCTAGGAAGTGGGTACCAGAGTTAACACTCTGGGGTAAATGGAGGAACGTCGCTGTGGCTACGGAGTTGTGTGCGGATGGGGACAGTTTCTTATCATATGTCCGTACTGGTGGCAGAGCACTTATGGTTTATAACCGTGTGCAGTGAAGCTGGTTCACATCTCTTTACTTTACTTTTACTATTTAACCAATCTTATATAGATTTGTTCCATTCTGTTTATATAGGATTTCCTGACAGGTTTAAAAAAAATTACATGTGCATCTATATCTTCTTCCATTATAGAAAATATCTTTCTCAATGATTTGAGATCACAGGTAAATCTAACCTAAAATGAATCCCAAGAAATTACATGGGGAATAAAGGCAGTAAGCAGAATATTAACCCCACCACCCACATATTGACCGCATGATTGCCATAATTTACTGTTAAATGATTTTGTTGTTTACTGTTCTGACTGCGTTAATAATAATTGATTACTCATTCCTGCCAAGAACCAACCGCCATTATTAGTATATTGTGTTTGTTTTTCGCATACGTTTTCATTAATAATAAATTTTAACTATAGTGACCCTTTTCTGCACTGTTGGTAGGCCTAATAGTGTGCCTGCTAATATGAAATTTTTGTGTGTAGTACACATCTTCATAAATAATTTAAACTTATAATCATTTACTGCACTATTGATAGCCCTAATATTGTGCCTACTTTCATAATTGTTTTAGCTCTGTGGTCATTTGGATGATATACTGTCAGCACATTTCCTTGGAGAGGAGGACAGCCATGTTGCTGTGGCTACCAACACAGACCTGCTGAAAGTGTTCAGCAGAGAAACTTGGGAGTGCCAGATGCTGCAGGGTCACTCAGATATCATCACCTCTCTTGATGTTCATGGACAGTTTATTGTTTCTGCATCAAAGGTTAGCTGTATGTCTTGAACTTTTAAAACATAAATTGCCATGAAAAGATATGAAACCAAATGAAAAACAGAACCAGTCAACTTCAGGATATCACAAACAACAAGTGAACATTGCAGCTAGAGAGCTTTCATAAGCACATTACATAAATCTATAGCACCACAAGTACGAACAAGAATACACAAAATCATGTTACTGGCGTCTCTGAGAGAAATCACATTTTTGTCTGGCCAGTAGAAAATCTGACATCTTTATGGCCACTGGAAATAGATACAGGCCAGAAAAGGCTGCATCACTGTTCTTGTCATTAGGATGTGATTTTTAGACATTACTGATTGCTGGAAGGCCACTCAGTTCCTTCTAAATCTTTAATGCCCAAGATGTCTTCAGTATCCTATGTCCTCCTTTATTTTTAGTCACTAGCCTTTTCTAGGATTCTAACCTTTCAATGTTCTTTATAAACTGCTTTCAATTTATCTGAAGCATTTCTGTTTCCCAGGCATGATGTTAGGAACCATTATTCCTCTGCCGTGATCTTATCCTATAGAATGGCATTTTTTTTAAATGTCTGGTATTCTATGAATTTTTCTGTGTCATTTAAATTAAAATCTTTAATTTTCCTTTGGTTAATGTTTATGTGAGTGAATTACCAAATGTTTCTACCTTCTTCTTGTACCCTGTTTAAGATGCAGACTGTGTTTTTTTCTATATGGTAGTACATGCTTTTAATATTTCAGCATTTTTGGGCCACCAGCTCTGGTTGCTGCCGATGATGTAACATTAAAGCTATGAGCTGTTAACTGTTTTTACTTCACTGGTTTCAGTTGTGTTTAATCAGTTTGAATAAAGAAACTTTTTTTTTAAATTTTTCAGAATAGTGCCATGAGCTCATTTTACATTCTGTCCTTCTGGTCACACTTTATTTTATGCATCATCTGATAGATACTTATAAAGACTGTCATTATTATATAATAAATTAAAAAGTAGTAAGATTAATACGATAACAGCTATCTTTACTCCAAGCCACAAAAGGTAGACTAGGCTAACCGAAAGACCTGGAATTTTTTTTAACCACATTAATTTTTTGGGGGTAAAATCACTGTATTTTGAGTGAAATGTATTTTTAAACATGTTTGATTATTTTTACAGGATTCAACAATTCGAATTTGGCAGTTGTCTTCAGACACAGGGTTTGTGACCTGCCTGGGTGTTGGTCAAGGGCACACACAAGCTGTCCAGGCTGTGGCCTTAGCAAGGTGATTGAAAATATCTAGATGATGTGATAGTTTTAATTTCATTTGTGGCCAGCAGGCTAGAGTACAGATCTCATTATGTGTTGTGCAATGCTTCTGTAAATTCACTTCCTATCTAATCTTCAGCATTCAGAGTGCTTTAGGTTTGTTGTTGCAGATATAACCAGTCGACATCTCTGATTGCTCTGCGCTTTCCATTCGGTGACTCCAAGTATTAGTACGTCTTGTCTCGATATTATCTCTCCACCGTCTTTTTGGTTTGTTTCATGCTCTGTTCCCTTTCAGGTCTTTACTATCCTAATTGGAGGCTTAGATATCTTTTTCATGTCAAAAAGGTTTTACAAAGAAAAGGACGTCAACCCCCATGCTTCGATTCCCACCCTGGAGGTCAAGGTGTCTCTCGTTGCCTGTCCTCTCCTTTTGACCTGTCTGGCTTAGGAGGCCATGCTGGTAGCTGTTCTACTGGCATGGCGTTCAGGGTAACTGAGCAGCTTAAGCTCCCCCACTCCCTCTCATAAATAAAGTAAAATGAAAAAGAATCATTTTCATACCTTTATGTGTGTAGGGCATACAGTCCAGCTACTATGGACAGCTACTGATAGCACACAGCACACCTATTCAACTGGCCACCCACTGAGGCCTGGCAAATGGTCTGTGGATTATTTCTAGTTTTTTTTAAATGTTGAATTAAGAATCAGCATCATAGCACTTGGGACACTGCCATAAGTGCTCAGTCCCCATCCTCAGCAGCGAAGAGTTCTAATTCCTATGGTACCAGTAATCATCTGATTGTATATCCGTCTCATCCTTCCCCTGAGTGTTGAGCGAGGGCCTGATACCCTGTTAACTCCTCGCAGCTCCATTCTCCTTAGACCGTAGTGATCTATCTGCCCTCTGCACTTTTTACTCGCTCCCGAAGGGCCCTCACAATATCTACCTTGTCATACATCAGTTCATCACCAAGTGGTGCAGAACCAGCCAGTCTATATGCCTGCTCATTTCCCAATACACCAGCATAACCTGGAGAAAATATCCAAAGGATGCTAACTACCCAGGACCTCTGAAGTGATGCTTGCCACCATAAACCCTTTTAGTTATACTATATTAATGATGATCTTTCTACAGCTGGGTTTAGGTCACTGGCCTGTGATGATTCCTATTTTGACAACTTCGGACTCCTGAGTAAACTTAGTTGAACAGCACTAGTTTCTTTTGCAGAAAGCATTGATAATTTGAAGCAATAAGGATGTGCAAGAAAAACCCTTATGCAGATGTTAATGAGAGAAGCCAAATTTGCTCAAATGGATTCCATCCATAGTATCAAAGTGATTGCAAATAATGTAAGGGAATGGAGGAATAGACTGTGAGCCCTATTTGACATATAATGGCACAACAGGACAATGATTGAATGAAGGAATTGCTAATTTTACAAATGCATTCTTTTACTGGGATCCTCTGGGATTAACATTCCAGACACATTGCAATTTTGCACAGGAGTCTGTCTGTCTCTACAGTCATTGATGGCTGATTCTGTGTAGGTATGCTTTTAGATAGCAGTGTCCTGTCCCAAAGTCTAAAAGTTGTTTTTTCTTTCCTGTTGTATTTGTTTATGCAAACTGAGTATTAATATATGCAAGTCTTATCCTTGTTGCTTTATGATAATTCATATAACTTGTATTTTTGTTGCAGTGGGAAATAATACATGTTTTTTGTTGTTGTTTTAATTCCTTTCGCTATCAGCTAATTCACACATTTCTTTTTCAAGGTTAAATGCAAGGCCAGCATTTGTAATATCAGGGGGTGTGGATATGACTTTCAAATTGTGGGCATTTCCCTCGGAGGCCGACATTACCCCAATGACCACCCTACGTGTTTCGGCTACAGAGCATGCACACGATAAAGATATCAACTGTCTGGCAGTGGCCCCTAATGACAAAATCATAGCCACCGGATCACATGATAAAACTGCTAAGGTATGTTTCATTTACGTGAGTGTGTAACTAAATAGGGATCAAAGCGTGATGCACCAGGCTATATGAAACAGAAGGTGTGTGTTGCACCATAGACTTTAGAGAAGCCTGTGGCCATCTCACCTGAAAACCACTGGCAGAGAGAATGAAAAGAAGACTTTGGTTGTATGTACATATTACAGAAGGGGCTGTGTAGACATCTTTTTACAAAGTTATTTATCTTATTTGGGCGTAATTATTATGGGAGTCATAGTAGCCTGCTGGCCCCAAGGTCTGGGTTAATCCCAATCAAGGCCAATTTTTAAAAATAATTTACCTTGGCACTGAGGTTGACCAAGCCTGAATTGGCTGCCAGGAAATGTCCTGGAAAGTAAAGGCAACTTGTGTGATATTGATCATATTACCCACTGAGGAGAAACTGATTGTACAAAAGCCCACATAAATGCTACTGGCCTCCTGAGATGATTTTTCTGACAGAAGGATCAAAGAAGAAGAAAACCCACTTAGTGCTTATGTCCATAAAAATCTGGGTCTAGCACCATAGTGCCAAGGTCCCACTATCGTGAAATCTCATTTACTTTTTATGCCCATGCCAGATACATTACCATCTTAATTTTTAAGTTATCATTGTCTGATTAGAGGTCCTCGCACTTGAGCACACTGGCAGGAATTAGAATCTGATGACGAGTGTGGTCACCGACATCACTTGCCAAGGCTTTGAATCATAACAACCAGTGTTTTGTTTTATTGTATCTCTAGGTCTGGAGCATAGGAGAAAATCTGCATTCAGTTTCTCTGTTGGCAGTTTTACGAGGTCACAAGAGAGGAATTTGGGGCCTGAAATTCTCACCAGTTGATCAGGTATTTATTTATCTTTGTAATAATCTGTGTTGATTTAGTGATCAGGGAGTTCAAACACCGCTTTGTTTTCATGAATTGTCTTCTTCTGCTTCATTGCACTCACCAGCTCTAAACTCCAGCAGAAAATTATGGTTGTTCTTCCATTTCTGGGTTTCAGTCCTGTTTCAGAACTTGCTTTATTTATAAGCAGTTAAAACCAAATGAGATCGAGACCAGATATGTCACCACAAATATAGCAGACAGGAAAGAGAGCAGAAATGTGATCTGACCTAGCTGAAAATGGTCAACGTAAGAGAATTAGAATTAATAATCCTCACCTCTCAGATCATACACTCTGACTTCAAAGGAAACACCCCCTAATTAGATACTTTCTGTAGCATGCTTGTTAGGGGGCATTGGGTCTGTTCTTGCCCCCTCCCCCCCCCTCTTCCAGGTAGGGGCCCCATAACCCACATGGGGATTAATGAATTATGATTTCATGGTTGAGATTACAAGATGGTGTCGAGCAACTCTATCAGTGTACGCTGCCTGTTATTTTTTTCTGTTTCTTTTGTCATGGGCTGCTATTTTGTGCATATTTCTATCAGAGTGTATATTGTGTTTTATTTGTGAGAGTAGCGTATATTGTAGTTGCGCTACATTGAGCGAGATGGCGGTCGATAGAGAAGGCAGCCTCGACCGGCATAATGTTTGATTGCAGCGGTCCACTGCACAGGAAGAAAGGATCATGCATATAGTGTCAGGCCTAAATTTGTAAAGACCAGTTGACATTTAATAGATGATGTGGTCAGTACCAGGCTGGTTGCTTTTACTTTCCATGACATTGCTTATCTTATGCTATGTCACCCTGAAACCAAGGTCGGTTTTGGAGAAACAAAATCTAACTATTGATTTGAACCCCGGACCTTTGGACCGACTGATGAGCATTTATAACTCTATGCTGTCACGACTCCCAGTTAATATTTCTTTCTTTTGTCGTTTTTGTGTGTCATCTCACTAATACCATGTTGTAGCCCAGTGTCGTGGTTTTTTGTATTTGTCCTGCGCCTATCGGGTGGCTTGAATGATGTATTTGTTCACCTTTTTTTTTTCAAGTTTCTGCTGTACCACTGCTGTATGGTACACGGGAAGATATGGACTGCACGATAGCTTTCTTAAAGGCTAACTGCCTTATATGTTTTCTGACAGAAGGATAGAAAAATGAAGCTTTACCATTTATCCTTCTCTTTCTTGTTCTTCCACTCACCTTCCTCTTAAATACTTTGCTGTAATATGTCTCATAACAGTTAATCATCTGGAATATAAAAATGTGTTATGATTTACAAGTTATTGTTTTATAGACACATTATTATTTTCATACTATTATTTTCATACTTGTATTTTTCTGCTAGATTTTAGCTTCATGCTCAGGGGATGGCTTCATCAAACTATGGAGTGTCACAGATTTCACGTGTGTTCGGGTAAGTTATTGTTCTGAAACAGTTTCTGTTTCTCCTAAGAGTTATTGTTAGTAAAAAAAAAAAAGGATGATGTCGGACAAGAGCACTATGATGGAAGCCAAAGAATAATAATAAATAAACACAGGACTAGTGTCATTAACGGTACACACTGTCTGATTTATAGAGGTAATGTGACCATTTATGGACTATGGTTCGATGTGCAGTGTGGATGATCTATCAGTTACCTAAGTGTTATCATTGGTTGACTAATCTGGTAAATTTAGTTTCAGCTTCAAAGCAAAAGGGTCACCCCATAGTTGCTCCGCTCCTGTGCCAATGAAAAACACACCAAATGTTTATCACAGTCCCTTGTGGAAAGATTGACAGACTGCGGTCTCAGCAAATCTAGCATAAAAACGCATTAAAAGCATACAGTAGCCATCCAAAGTGCTAGCACAAACAGCCCGACATTAGAAATGCAGTTTATCATTGATGGTAGCAGAAGTCACCAAACAATCAGCAGTTGCACACACGATCAATTTTAATCACATAATGGCCCCACCAACATTGTGACAACCAGCATCGCGCCATTGACTGTAAATCTTATGTAATGTTTTTCAGGTCACATGAGTCTCGAAAAAAACTTGTAGGGAACTTCTGTCTACCTTACAGTGTATCTTCTTCTTCATGTTCAGTGGCTGTAAACTCTGGAGGAAAGTTCTTGTTGGTCATCCACTTTTCAACTTTGGTCTTGTTCGAGATCTTGAGTTTTACATGCATATCAGCTCTACAGATCTGGCCTAAATGTAGGCAGATTGTTGGTTTCACACCTCTCAGGTATATGCACTCCAACTTCAAAGGAAACACATTCAATTAGTAGTAGACATTTACCACATGCTTATGAGGAGCGCAGTGGACATACCCCCCCCCCCCTTTTTTTCCATCACAATAGGGCCCTGGAACCCACACCAGGAATGTCTGTGTTTGATCTATGGGAGATGACTGGGCATTTTTGGAAATATCTGTATGATCTATGGATGAAAACCGAAGCGCTTGATAAAATTGATTCTTGGCTAAAAACTAAATCCATTATAAAAAAGTTATTTTTGGAATTTTTTCAGACTTTAGAAGGACATGATAGCTCTGTGCTTTCCTTGGTGTTCTTGTGCAGTGGACGTCAGATTCTTTCTAGGTGAGTATTTCGTGTGTGAGTAGTTTTGCAGTATGAGATATACACAGATAGTTTGCTCTTGGTTGATTATGTTAATGTCACATTATTATGTCTGTTGTATATTGTCTAGACAAGATGAGTGATCTCCCTTGCTTCCATCCACCTTTGGGAATGAGCAGCTGGGTCCTTATGTCATTATGTACAAAATAAAGAAACACGAAATCTCGTGGCGTAGACTCTTTCTAGAGCATGAAATGTAAAATTTTCTTCATTATTCTTCAAGTCCACGCCTTGTGGGGTTGGTAGTCATTTCTATCCACAACCTTCCGTCTCGTATACTTTCAATCAACTGACACAGATGATCCTCCGTGCCAAGATTTCATACTGTCCAGCATCTTTTCCCCCTGTCTCTACTTGCCTCTCCTGCCCTCCAACTTTCCAACTGTTGTGATGTAATTCAATTGTCTCCTTCTAATGTAGGCTTTAGTTCTCTCCGTGAGTCAGTTTTTTTTTCAGGAGTTATAGCTGATGAAAACACGTAATGGAAGTAAAGGACTTGTAAATAGTTTTTAGCTGCCTAATCTAGTCAGTCACAAACAAGTCTGCTTGTTAGGCTTGAAGTGAGTTGGTTGACATGAACTTATTCACTTGTTAGGCTTGATTTGACTTGTTTAAAATGAACTAATTCACATGTTAGGCTTGATTTGACTTGTTTGACATGAACTAATTCACATGGTAGGCTTGATGTTAGTTGGTTGACATGAACTAATTTACATGTTAGGCTTGATTTGACTTGTTTGACATGAACTAATTCACTTGGTAGGCTTGATGTTAGTTGGTTAACATGAACTAATTTACATGTTAGGCTTGATTTGACTTGTTTGACATGAACTAATTCACATGGTAGGCTTGATGTTAGTTGGTTGACATGAACTAATTTACATGTTAGGCTTGATGTGACTTGGTTGACGTGAACTAATTCACTAGTTAGGCTTCATGTGACTTGATTGATCTGAACTAATTCACTAGTTAGGCTGGATTTGATCTGGTTGACGGTGTATGCTCCATTTGGAGATAAAAACAGAAGAAGAAGAAGAAGGATGTAATTTTTCAAATGGTTTTTATTTGAACCCACATTAACCCGGCTTAATTAATTAGGCAGCAGGAAATGTTCTTGGAGGCATGTGGATGTGTGCTGATTGATTTCTAAAAATTGTAGGGCTCATTTACTTTGATTTTAGAATGTTTACTTATTTATGATTATTATTATTCTTTTTAGAACTGTCTTATGACAAATCTTTGGACCCATAAAATATGCTAACAGAAGACAATGGACAGTAAGAAGCAACAATAACATTCATTATCTGTTTAAGTCACCACTAATTACTGGCAGGCAGCATGAATGCTAATAGACTGCAATGGTTGGGACATATATAGAGAAAGGGTTTGAGGCACATACACAGACAAAAACTGTGTGCACAAAAGAGTTGAAAAGATATAGACCATAAGGCAGACCAAGAAGATGATGGAGAGATAATAAACAGTTGACCTGCAAACACTCATAGTCACCACCAGAAAGAGAAAGGCAATCATAGTGATGAATGAAGGCTAGTAATATCTGCAGCTATGAACCTCATGGCCTCTCAATGCTGAAGAATATTATTGTTTTGTTTTATATTTTGAGCGAGGTGTTGTAGATGAATTGAAAATTTTTTCTTCTGTATTTCTCATTTAGTGGTTCAGACGGCTTGCTGAAGTTATGGCTGATTAAATCAAGTGAATGTGTGAAAACACTGGATGCACATGAAGCCAAAGTGTGGACTGTTTCAACCACAAATAAGGAAGACTATGTCTTATCTGGGGGTGCTGATTCTACTTTGGTGCTGTGGAAGGTGTGTGGATGTCACTTGTTGTTTTCTGGTGTTTTTTGGGATTTATTAAATAAGCAGGTTGTATGAATTTTAAAACTTTGAAATAGCTCCCATTCTCAGCCCAGGTAGAGTCAAGTTCCAGGATTGGCCTATTTAGTCGTCATCATCATAAAGCATTTCTACCATTTGTGTCGGGGGGAGGAGTAATCAGCGATCGAGTGCACTCTGGTTGGCATTGGCTATTGTCATGATGTGAAGGTTTACAAGTTTTTATTTTGATGACTCATATTTTTTATGACCATCCTCTTGCTCTTGTAGGTGATCTTCTGAGATGTAGATTATGTGATGATATCTGATGTTGCTGCGTTCTAATGAAATGGCCAAATTACTTGATCTGCTGTTTCTCAATTAATCTAGTATTAGGTGTTGCTCCCACGGCCTGTCTAATAATATAATTATTCACTCGTTCTTGGATGGCTAGGTTGGCACTTTTCTCGGGCATCTCATCTTGCAGGTGGTGATTTTGTGTATATGGGCTTTAGAAAATGTCCATGTCTAGCACTCGTAGCTAGTCTTGGTATGGGTCATCTACATATCATAAATCCATATTGGCTCCACAAATGAAAGGACTGATCATCATGGTGTTGTCAGGTGCACATTTTTGCACCATGCATAGATTATCCTCATGATAAATGGGAGGAGAAATGGGCACTTATGGAAACTGATATCCATATGGGGTGAAAGTAAGGTTTTGTAAAATTAAACAAATGAATTGAAACATCACCCTTTGGAGTAAATTTCAACAGAACTGGTCAGCTGTTTTGTTGGTTTAAAATCAAGGCACAAACAGTATATTGCACAATTCGTTGCCTTTCATATTTCATGTATTTCAGAAGGTTCATTACAACAGACATTAAATTGGAATATGAAGTACCCAAAAAAAAAATATTCCTTTCAACCAAATAGGTTAAAGTTGAGAGGATTGACTTCTGTGCACTAGGTTTTATTGCGCATGTCTTGTGTGTCTCTCTCTTGCAGAATGGCTAGCTGCCTGCCACTGAACAGGGTATCTGGACTTGCTCTTTTATAGTCTGCCATCAGCACTGTGATTCTTTAGTCTCAATGTGTCAAACTTTTAAGTCCTGGTGGTTTGCCATGCAGATTGAGATCTTCTGATGTGTGTCACACTTTGTATGTAGCAGCCTGGAGTAGATAAACAACAGACACATGCTCCACACATCCACTCACCCTTCCTCCACCACTATTTTTCCCAAATGAATTACACTTTGAAATGTATACACATATTAACTAAAGTAGACAGTAGCATTGTGGGTACTTGACTTTTGTTATTGGTTTTGCAGGATGTTACTGAGCAAGAAGAAGTAGAGAAACAAGAACAGCTACAGAAGAAAGTTCTACAGTAAGTGCTCTAGATATTCAGCTGCAGAGGTTACCTCGAAAACATAAATTAGCTCCAATAAATGCCAATATATATTGTGCATATATTGCACGATTGTATTTGTATTGAGGTTGAGTGTGTCACACAAATGTATGGAATGTTATGTGTGGAAACAAGTAAAGGGCCCTTCTCACGTCATTGGTGCTTCAGGGCATACAGTGTCAGACCAATAATTGATGGACCAGTCACCCCTTGGTTGGCACAGGGAATATCACACCAGCAGACATTACTTCCCAGGACATTACCTAGTACCTGACCTGAGAGTCCAGGTTAATTTTTAGAAAAGAAAAAAAAAGTTTGCTGCATGCGGAGTAGAATCTAAAAGCTAAGGGCAGTTAGACAAGCATCTCTTCACGGCCCTTATGTGGTAACAGAGTCTTTTTGTGATCTATGGGAGATGACTGGGACATTTATGGAGATATATGTTGTTGATCTATGGGAGATGACTAGTGCATTTATGGAGATATATGTTGTTGATCTATAGGAGATTACTGGGGCATTTATTGAGGTATCTGTGTGATCTGTGGGAATGGCCGGGGCATTTATGGAGATATCTGTTGTTGATCTATGAGAGATGACTGCCATTTATGAAGATATCTATGTATGATTTGTAGGATATGACTGTGCCATTTATGGAGGTATCTGTATGATCTGTGGAAAATGACTGTGCCATTTATGGAGGTATCTGTGAATGATCTGTGGGAAATGACTGTGCCATTTATGAAGATATCTATGTATGATCTGTGGGATATGGCTGGGCCATTTATGGAGGTATCTGTGTATAATCTGTGGGATATGGCTGCGCCATTTATGAAGATATCTGTATGATCTGTGGGCGATGACTGGGGCAAAAATGGAGATATCTGTGTATGTTCTATGAGAGACACCTCTGGATTTATGGAGATACCTTTTAATGATATGTGGGATATGAATGTGGAATTGACGGGAAGATATCTGTGAATGATTATGTGGAAGAAAACTGGAGCACTTGATACAATCTTTTCTTGGCCAAAAGCTCAATCCATCAATAAAAGTTTGTAATTTTCATGTAAATTATTCTTTTCCCCCCAACAGAGAACAAGTGTTATCCAACTTGGTTGCAGACAAGAAGTATTTGCGAGCCATTGGTCTTGCTATCTCACTAAACAAACCATACCAGGCACTGACAATTCTGAAAGGTATGTTCTTATTTTTTTTCTTCTTTTTTCTCTGAAGCTTTTTCTTCTGCCTCAAGTTGAGTTTGTCAGTAAGCGGCTGGGTTTTCATGTGGCAGAGCAGGGTTTGATCTTTGGTAGAAGATCAGGTTTTTTTTGTTGGGGTCAAAAATAAATGGTCTGACCTGCACAGGTCGTGATGACCGCAACACTTGCATTCAATCCTAAGGCTCATGAACCTTTGACCTTTCTGTCCTGCGTCACCCTGAAAGTGTTGAATGCAGGTAGTAATGACAGTTAGTTGACAGTGTGCATTCTTGTGCACGTTATCTCTGTGTGGGTTCCAGGCCCCATTTAACCCCCCTCCCCTAGTTGGGATGTCGTAAAAGGCAACTAATTAAGAAATTTTCTCCGAAGTCAGAGTTTGTCTACCTGAGAGGCAGGTAGCCAAAAGTCTGCATACAAATAAGACAGTTTTTTTTAAAATGGATGCACATGCAATGATTAAGTTTTGAACAAGACTGAAGGCTGGAAGTGGACCTCCAAAACTTCCCCATTTGTTTGTTTGATGTATTAGTACCAGTAAATCCCTCAGCATTAAACAAATAACAGCACTGGTTCTATATTATTTCACTATTTTTCTTTATGTATTTCATGTTCCATGTTGACTGTTTATAAGTTATATTCTTTTGTCCCCCTGAACATGTCTACAACTGTTATCCAAAACCTGAATGGACACACATATACGCCAATAGATTTTTGGAGGGAGCAGAAAAAACGGAGGAGCTAGATCGGTCATCATGCTGCAAGATTAGACCACAATCATGCGCCTCTGGAAAACTCCCAACAAACTTCAGAGCAGAGCAGCAAGCAATTTTTGATTCAGCTAAAGTGCTCGAGGAAAGAAAAATTGAAAACAGCAAAATTGTTTTCCTTTGTGACTACATGTCAGTCCTCCAGGCGACTCTGGAGGGATCCAGGAGACAACATGGAAAGAGAACTGACCCGCCAGCTAACAGACTCACAGAAAACGATCAGATCGTTCTCCAATGGATCCCGGCTCATTGCGGCATCCCAGGAAATGAGTTAGCAGACAGACTTGCTAAAAATGGAACAAAGGAGAAACAACACACCCATCTATTGTCGTTACTAGAAATCAGAACACTTATCAAGGGAAAATACAAGGAATTGGGAGAGAACAAACTAACAGTAAACATCCACAAGACCCCATCAGCAAACACAACAGAAAGCAACAGTTTTCCGTCTATGAACAGGACACTGCTGGCTAAACTACCACATGCATAAAATAAAGATTGTACAGTTCTCACAGTATGCCTGTCAAATAGGACCACAAACACCTGAGCAGCACATTCTGCAGACCTGCCCACTCTACATACAACTTCAAAAAGACACCTGGCCTCAGGAGCAAAGTGTGCAGAGCAAGATATGGGGAACCATGAAGGATCTGCGACTGACATGCGAGTTCATAGAGACAACCCCCCTGATGGTCTGATCTGAGCATATGAAACCGAACGCAAAGAAGAAGAAGACCTTATTCTAGTCACAGTTTTTGTTGTGTGCAGTATTTCTTTACCTCTAATTTTGTTGTTTGTCCACAGAAATTATAAAGGATGATGATAGTGAAAAGCAGTTGGAAAAATTGATCTGCAGATTAAGAATGGATCAGATAGGTATTTTTTTTTTTTTACTTTCACAACTTAATTATAGTATTTAGTTGTATAAACTGCCAATGTAAAATTCATTACATCAGTTATTTATAAGCATGTATTGTATTCTTCATTGTCACAGTTTTTCTTTTTCTTTGCTTTCAGTGGCTGTAAACTCCAGCGAAGAGTTCAGGACGTTCACCCAACTGTGGATCTTAGTCTTGCTCCTGAACTTGCAAATCTGTTTTACATATCTGGATTATTTGTGTGCAGACTGTTGGTTCCCTTTCCCTGCCTGTTAGACAGATGCACTCCGGCTTTGAAGGAAGCACCCATAATTTGTTAATTTTTATCCCCATGCTTTCAAAGTTGGGCCCCGGCACCCAAATGGGGACAAGTGTGTTTAAAAATTGCTGACGTTTGAATGATTGAATAAAAAAACTACAGCATTGCACTTGAGGCAATTCTATAGGTGCCCCTGTCTCTTTCCTCAGCAGCCAGCAGTGAGTTTCCATACTAATGACCCCAGTTGCAATCTGTTAAAAATCTGTCTGTCTTTTCCCATGTACCTTGAAAACTTTGATCCTCTGCTCACTCCCCACTAAATCAGTCTCTTTTGAAGTTTTGATAGTCTGTATTTTTGCATTGCTGCTTGATCCCAGATTGCTTTCATCATGAATGCTTTATTATGCAGCAGTTTGCCACCCACAGGGACAGCAGCAGCCATGCTATAAGCCTACTTATTACCCCACACGCCCAGCTGTCCTGTTCAGAAATTCCATGATAGCCCTTGATCTGATTCTTATTAGGCAATGCAGGCCTCTATGTATAGAAACCATTTTCCAAAGCATTCTCTGGGAGTCCATTTACAGTTACATGTCACACTGTACTATGTAAGTTAGTTAGTCAGTTAGTCAACAGATTATCCTCATTGCACAACGAACAAGTTCATGAGCACCCAAATACCATCCTCGGTATATCCCTCAGAGTATGGTGACTGATGCCCAATTCAGTGTTGGTTTGCTATTCTTCTTTGGCTGCTTGTATAGTGTTCATTTCCAGCAATACCTTCTTTGACCTGAAGCTCGTGAAGTCTTGTTTAATGTTTCTGATTTATCATCTCCTGAATCATCTACTCCTGCCTTCCTGAGAGCATTGAGAACATAAGCCAGTCTGTTGCTTTTACTGGACCCACCAAGGCCTTATCAGCAAGCCAGTCTGTTGCTTTTACTGGACCCACCAAGGCCTTATCAGCAAGCCAGTCTGTTGCTTTTACTGGACCCACCAAGGCCTTATCAGCAAGCCAGTCTGTTGCTTTTACTGGACCCACCAAGGCCTTATCAGCAAGCCAGTCTGTTGCTTTTACTGGACCCACCAAGGCCTTATCAGCAAGCCAGTCTGTTGCTTTTACTGGACCCACCAAGGCCTTATCAGCAAACCAGTCTGTTGCTGTTTACTGGACCCCACCAGGCCTTATCACAGCAAGCCAGTCTGTTGCTTTTTACCACCTGGACCCACCAAGGCCTTATCAGCAAGCCAGTCCTGTTGCTTTTACTGGAAGCCCACCAAAGGCCCCACCTTATCAGCAAGTCAGTCTGTTGCTTTTACTGGACCCACCAAGGCCTTATCAGCAAGTCAGTCTGTTGCGTTTACTGGACCCACCAAGGCCTTATCAGTAAGTCAGTCTGTTGCTTTTACTGGACCCACCAAGGCCTTATCAGCAAGTCAGTCTGTTGCTTTTACTGGACCCACCAAGGCCTTATCAGCAAGCCAGTCTGCTTGTTCATTCCTCTTATCCCAGAGTGCCCTGGTACAAAATAAAAACTGATTCCTGTCAGCCAAGCTTTCCTCAGGGACTTAAACCACTGCCTTCGAACCCATCATATCTCCTGAAGCATGCTCATGGAATCACTTCAAAAGCACTCATGGGAAAAATTGTGTGTGCCTTGCCACATCATTGCTTTTTTTTTTTTTTTTACCACAGTCACCTCCATACTCAGACTATTTGTCAAGACAAAAGTACTGTTTATTTTTTTTTTTAACTTGTATTTATTGCCCTGTCTCATTGTTTTGGTAATGACCTTCTTTTTTTTTTTCTTTCTAAATATCCATGCCATGAAACATTGGAAATCATATTCTGCTTTCTGTCTTGTGTACTATCAGTCATTTCTGACACAGGTTTTCTTCCATGCCATTTCTACTTACTTCCTAACTCACTTGCTTAATCAATCACCTTCTAGTAAGAGGTATAGAGGTTTGCTGAAAAGATCACTAGACTTCTCTGCAGCTGTTTTCTCATTGGCTTTGTTCCATTCCAGTCCTCTTTCAGTCAACGACTTTTGGATGTTGTCTTCCCAGCAAACCTTTGGTCGCCCATGTGGTATGGTTCCCTGGGTCCCCATGCCTGACGTGATTGTCCAAAAACCATCGTAACTGGGATTGATTCACTCGAGTTTTTAAGTTATGAGTTGGAATATCTTCACAGCACTCCGGACACAGTCATAGGCCCTCAGATTTCCCTCTTAACATATTCATCAGGGTGGCGCAGTTATTATTGCCAGTCCTATGTTGGTTAACAAGACTTAGTGTGTGTCCGGTGTGCTTCTCATGCTTGGCTGTGCCGATCTTTACTCCCAGTTCTCGTATTCTTAGTAGTTTTTAAGGCCTGGGTTGCAACTTTGTCCCTTCTTGTCACTAGGACCACCTTTCTCAGATACCTCATTTCTGAGGCTTGGAGCTGGCTTTTGTGAGCTGACCATGATATCCAAATATCAAGAATCTGATCTCTTGGTTTTTCTGCACTTCCTCTCTCTCTCTCTTCTCCCCCCCCCCCCCCACTAAATTTTCTCACAACACACTTTAGTTTTACACTTCTCACCACACACGCCAAAGAATATATACATGAATTACTTAAGCTTTTTATATTGTTTTTTTTTCTTCTAGAATCTATACTGAAGTTTGCCGTACAGTGGAACACCAATAGCCGGAACTACTTTCCAGCACAGGTCTTGCTCAATGTTGTGTTAAAAAACTTTCTGCCACAAGATCTGGCCAAGTTGTCAGGCATACAAGCCATTATTGAAGGACTCACTGTATATACAGGTAGGCAGCTGTTCATTGTTTATGCTCTTGAACCTGCAGTTTTGTATTTGATTAAATCTCATAATAAAAATTGTTGAAGACTATAAAAATGTTACAAGAGTTTAATAACAAGTAAAAGTCTGGTGTACTGTCTACCAGAATTGGGAATGCTCTAAGTGAGTGCCTTTTTTTCTCTCTCTGGTGAAGCACAGTATGCAGTACCAGCACCTTTTTTTAACCATTTTTTTTCAGTACTATTGAAAAAAGATACTTTGTGGGGAATACTGGCACCTTTTTATTTTTAAACAGAAAAAAGACCTGTGTAAAACAAGATCTCCTGTGCTGCAAATTAATCAAAACTGCATCTGTAAAACTGCATCTTCAGCTGATGATGAAAACAGATTTTAAAATATGTAAAGAAAAGAAGGCAGTGACATGCTTTAAGAAGAAGAGGGCTATCCAGAAGCGAACAGAATGTGGTCCGAGAGGACTACCGCTTACTTGACCAGAAGGGCAGGTCATTAGCACACACACCCAAAAAAAAAGAAGTTTTGACCAATATGAGCCATGGGCCAGCATCTCTGTATCCCATTTGACCAAACAATATCCCAGACATTACCGCAGACATGATATACTACACCTTAGGACAGGACATATCAGATTTAACAAGCATCTGCACAGGCTTCATGTAAGTAGTTCACCATTATGCCCATAAGGGCTGTGTATGCTTTTATAAATGTTTTCTTTTGTGAATGATAATTAAGGTTCTCTCCCTTAGCTCTGTGTCCACCTATAAATGATAGTTGGACATGTTTGTATTAAAAAACTTTTCACATTAGTGGACAGTACTTTGTGTTCATTCTGTCATCCGGATCAACACAGCAGTAGTCATTAGCCTTTTCCCAATACCTTTTTTTTAAAAACAAAAATGTTGAATATTCTAGTGAAGCTTTGTTTAACAGTTTGCCTTTTTCCCCTTGTTTCCAGAGCGCCACCTGCAAAGACTAGACCACTTGTTGATAGATTCCCACTTTGCCGAGTACTGCTATGGGTGTATGAAAACTACATCATTGTAAAGCACCTTCACTGTTAATTAGAATTATGCAGTAAGAAGTCACAGTATTTTAACATGAAAAGCATACCTCTTTTATTTGTTTGCCACTATTTTATCTTCTGCCTTTCTTGTTTGTTGTTATTGTGGCATCCATACCATTACTGGTATATGCTGGGATATTTATATATTTTGTCCAGGCTGAAGGTTAAAGGCCTCTTGCCTGTGCAATCACAGTGTATTTCCTAGGCTAGGATTCAAAGTAAACCTTGAACATTAGAAGGGGTTAAACATATATTCCATGATGTGTGAGGCAGACTTTTTGATCACTCAGCTACCTGATTCTCATTCTGTCTTTCTAAAGATCTAAATATTGATTGGTCTGGTCATTTTCAGTGTCTTTCAGGACTGTTTGTAATAAATGCTAAAACTAAGATAAGATCATTCCTACAGTGATGTGCACTCATGAGGGTAATTGTCTAATGTTCTTCATTAGAATACATTTGGATGTGTTGCAGATGCAATGTTACATTGTAGTTTAGCAATCGTCTGAGTGCATTCTAGTTCTCCACGTTTAGGCTTTATGTTTTAAAAGGTTGTGAGTTTAGTTCAGACTGTCAGTTGGTTCATGGGTGTAGTTTCTAGAGATCACTTGGGATCATCACTAGAGGAACAGAGATCATGCTTTGTGCTACCCTCGGCAGGTGGCTAGCTATTGTGTGAAGAAAGACTGCACCTTATGTGGGATAAAACCTAGTGATAAGAAGTCAATACTCATGACCCGAAACCTTAAGTCGACAAGTATACCTGTAACAATGGACATCAGGTAATAATTTACCAATAGCATCCTGTAAAAGCTGAAATATTTTTATTTATATCAATCACACGACAGATTGGAAAAAATTATAGCAGAGGGCATGGTACCAGGAAGGAGGGGCAGGGGCCGACCAACACGAAGATGGGCACAGGATATAAGTGACTCCTTGAGTATGAAAGTACACGAGGCGGGAGAGCTGGCGAGAGACCGAGTTTCTTTCAGGCAGACCGTGATGGGAGCGACGTTCTGCAAGGGACCTGCTACATGATGAGGATGATTCTGTATAGGTTAATTTAAAAACAAATGATCTGTCATCAACACCATCACATATAAGACTACAAATAAATAATGAGAAAAAATATATTAAAGATACTAACAGATCATGTAGATGTCACGCTAGAGAATAAATAAATAAAAGTAACGGACCATTTCACCTATTTGGTAGCACTTTTGACTTTCAAGAAAACACAGTGAATGAAATTTTGATGCACATTGGCAAAGCAACAGAAACCTCTAAAAGCCTGAACAAAATATGGAGCTTCAAGCTATAAAGCATTAAGACCAGACTGACTTTCATTCCAATGTTATTTCAATTCTAACATTTTGCCAGCGAAAAGTTGGGAGAGCTACCAAAGATATGGAATGAAATTTAAATGCATTTGAAAATAAATGTCTGAGAAAACTCATGAACATAAAATGGGATGAAGAATTCAAAATGAGTCAGGAGATCTGAGAAATGTCTGGGCAAATACCTGTATTGACTGCAGTAAGACAAAGAAAGAGGAGATATATTGGGCACACTCTGGGCAAAGCAAAATAAGCACTGAAATGAGAAAGAAAGGGTCTGAGAAAAAGAGGCTAAACTTCACGCCAGAAATCTAGAGAGTTGCATGCAATAGAGCAGAGTGAAGGAATCGAATGCGAGCCCTATGTGACGTCTAACAGCACACAAAGGATGATGATGATGATAGGTTAATCTACATTTTTGGTAGTAACATGTTTAAAAATGAATTATGAATGGTTGTTTTATGCTGTTGAATCTTTGTCTGGATAATAAACATTACCTTCAGGCTTTAAATGTTTGAGACTTATTTGTTTGAAAATTAGAATTCAGTGGTGACTGGTGGTAGCATAGTACCTAGATGCTCGTCTAGAGTTGAAATCCTTTTATGTGTGGGTTACTGGACCTCTCTCTCTCTTCCCCTTCCCCCCCCCCCCCCCAATAACAATGACTGACCAACACCCAGTGACACAAATTGCCACCATTAGGATGAGGATTACCAGAGCACAAATCCTAGAAACTGTTCAACTGTAAAGTTATATTAGGGCCCCAGACAACAGCCGGGATGAGGCCTTAAAATAAAAAATTGCGTCCCACATTGGAGCAAAATTAATTATTTGGAGCTTTTAAGTCACTGGCAGAGTGCATCAGCCTGAGAGGCAAGTAACAACAGTCTGCATACAAATAAGCTATAAAAGTAAAACAGATGTGCACACAAAACTCGAGTGTTACTTTTCGGCCAGAGTCTAGAGTCAGTGAATGCTAAGAAAAAGAGTTAAAAAATGTAGTTAGTATAACAGAATTGAGAATAATTAAATTCATCATCATCCGATCAGTCCAAAGCCTAGTGATAGAGTCATCTGATTATATCACCTGACTGCCACATGTAGCAATGAAAAAAAAAATATTTTTAAGGCAGGGAATGAAGGTTTAGAGCAGGGTTTCTCAACCTTTTTGCGCCCGCAGCCCACAGAAAGGGCAGAAACTGTTGCACAACTAAACACCACACCTACACAAATGTGTTTGGTAACACTGATGTCACAAAAATTAGTTTTCCAGCTACCTGACATCTGTTGCTGCTTAGTGATTACCTAATCTGACATATGTCGATGGAGCGTTAATTATGATAGATGAAGTGCTGCAATAACGTGCATTAGATTTTTGTATCCTGGTTTTCATTACTGAAATTACTAATAAAATCTTTTAACACAAATAGGAAGTTGGGGAGAAAAAAAATCAATTTTCAATCCGATGTCTGTAACTTAGATATGGGTATTGTTTAAAAAATAACTAAGACTCAGACAGTGATTGTATTTTACTTATGCCTGGACACAAGACTACAGTCGGAAGACAACTCAGTGATCTTTTCTTTTTCTTTGGTAATCAGACTTTTTAGCTTAAGTCTTTAAATGCTGACTTGATATTCGAATATCATTTATACCTTGTTCATCCTCATCCACGAGGTGTGAATCCTCCCACAGGCTGCAATCCTGAAAATAAAAAACCTATTACGTGATTAGGCCAACATTTTTAGCGGCTGACCTAAGATTTGCCGTGGGTTTAAAGAACACTGTTTAAAGTGTGCAGTGCAAACAGATGGTTTAAGTCAAGAGTTTTTTAGCTGGTGGCCTGCAGGCAAAATTTGGCCCGCAGAGGACTAGAAAGTGGTCCACGGATCACTGCCATTTGTACTGTGTTTATTATCTTTCTTACACTGAGGATCGGGCGATTCGGCCCATGACGATACCCATTTTCAGCCTTTTGGCCCCCAATAAATGTTAAATAGCCATCTTTAAATGATCTGTCTGAAGCTAAAATTTGAGTGAAAGATGTATGCATTTTTTCTCCCCTGTTATTTGGCAAAAACCATTGACTAAGTGATAAACACAAATGTGTTGGAAACACCAGCATTGACTGAGTGATAAACACAAATGTGTTGGAAACACCAGCATTGACTGAGTGCAGAACACACAGTTGGAAGATCTCAATTTTGCTGGTGATATTGTTCTACTAAGTAAAACCAACAATGCCATGCAAAGAAAGATAAAGGATTTAGCAAATATACAGCATTAAAAATTGGACTACTAAAAAGTTACGAAAAGACAATTATATTGACGACACCAATAATAGATCAATCCGATGTAATAAGACAAAGTGAATTAAAGTAACAGAACAATTTACTTATTTAGGTAGTAATTTTGATAGTGATTGCCTTCACGGCATGACAATAGCCAGTGACAGCCAACGTGCACTGGATCGCAAATTATTCCTCCCCACGGCCCTTGTTGGCAGAAGTGGTTTATGATGATGATGAATGAAATACAAAGAAATTATGACATGTATTGACAAGCATCAGCAGCTTTTAACAAAATCTGGAACTCTATATTCTATAGTTTTCAAACCGTCACATATTTTCAATTTTAATGCTATTTTAATTTAAACATATGTCACTGAAAGTTTGAGAACCACTGTAGAAAAGGAAATGAAAGTTGAATTCATTCAAAAAACAAATGCCTGAGGAAAAAGATGAACATAAAATGGAATGAATTTAAGAGTTGTGAAGACATAGATGAACTATCTTGGCAGCCATTACTAATCTCAGTTATAAGACAGAAAGGTTAGTTGCGTAATCTTTACAGGACGTTGCAGAACCAAGCCCAACAGCCCCTGGCTGTTGTGTGGTTTTTCTAGGCAAATTTACGTCCATTGCCCCTGGACGGTCGGCTTTCTTGATACCACTGTCGAAACCAACGCAAGGCGCATGGCCCGCAGCTGAGATCGAATAAGACAGAAACGATGGCGTTATTTTGGGCATCCCCTGAAGAGAAATGAGCGAAGAATCACCAGACAGTCACACCAATGGGAAATATATGAATTAAAGAGATGAGGACACCCAAAAAAGAGCCCTACAAGAAATGTTGACAAGAGAGGCCAAAGGTGCTGGAAGGAATTCCAGTATAATATTGATTGACTGATTGATCGGCACCTCTCCGTCTTTCCAGACAATAGCATTATTTTCCACCACGAGGAGTCATGAGACTCAGCCCATGGCGATGGCGAGAGTGACTAGCAAGACCCACCTGCGTTAAGAAAAGTCTTTCACAGTTATAGCTTGGAATTTCAAGATCGTTATTGTCAAAATTTGTGTTTAGTCTGATCAGCTGGCATCCTGTCAGCAGTCATTTCTCCCTTCCTCTTCATTTACTTCCGAATGCACCCTCTACACAACATATTGATAACACCGGATAGAATGGAAGAATAGCTGTGGCCCTGTGTGACACACACACACACACACACACACACACACACACACAAATGATAACGCATGAATGACCTTTGTGTCAAAAACATCTGAAAATATTTGTGGCAAACAAACTAACCCCGTCTGCGTTAATGTCTGGAATATTGTTTGGCCCAATGGGATACA